TCCGACTTCTGCTGCCACTTCTATGGGTAATGCTCCAACGATGTATGCATATTTTGTCGCTTGCGAGCGTATACCTCTCGACAAAAATAATGCCTCAACCTGTGCAAACCAGATCCTGGGATTATTAACACCGTACGCTGGTAATCTTAGTTCCGAAATAGCGTTGATTGAGTTCAAAACATTATCCTCTGGTTGTGGAGAGTTTAGAAGGTTGGTCGGTGAACTATCAATATCAATAAGTTTACCCGGAGAGTTCATAATGACAAAAACAAAAAATGGTGTCGTGCCGATTAATAATAATAAAAAAATTATGTAGATATATATAGTAAATGTCTATAAAAAAATAATCGAGGCTCACCAAATAATTGTGGTGGACCAAACAATATATAAACGCAAAAGTATCAACAAAGTTAATAACAATCAATAGTAATATTAATATTTACAAGTTAAATGTTACAAATACAATAACAAATTAGGGACGTTACTTAAATCGGCTAGTCGTTGCGTGTTCTGTTGAGTTTTGGTCTCAAAATTCCACAATTATAAATGCGTAATAATTCCACAGAGGTAAATATGACGCCAATAAGTTTCTTTGACGTAGGATATAATGGGAATGACACTGCAGTCTGAAATGAGGATAATATCCAGTTTAGAACGCAATTGACTTGGTAACGAACGACAATAGAACAATGGGTATGTGCGTAGTAGTGTATTTGTGAACAACCGAAAATGTGTGTCACGCTATGTTCGAATTACAACTTAAAAAGTGTTCAAGGTCGTTGACTAAAACAACACGTACAGTCATTTAATGATAAATGTACATACAGTGAAAAATTGACAAAACGAATAGAAATAACATTGAAAACTATTTACAAAATTAGGTCGACAGGTCTATCTCCACAATCTCATGAATCCAGTTGGCAGATGCAGCTAGGTCGTCCGCGGCTTGCACCTGACGAGGAAGTCAAGATAGAAAGTCCTTGATCAAAGTTTTGTTGTCTAGCTACCTTCCTTATACGTAGCAATATTTCTGCTGCTGAACAGCACTGCAATTCGATATTGCTGAAGAGTCGATATAGTGTTTTGCAATCGGTTAGCTTTCTCTGTTTAAGGACGACCTTTTACAAAGTGTCTTAAGGTTCTGAAACATCGCCAGCCAACGCACATGTTGTTATCGCATCGTACTGCCTTCATGACACTGAGGAAATTTGCACGTGGATCTGTTCGGCTGGGCTCAGAAAGTCAGTTTCTGAGAAGCAGTATCAGACCTCAATATTCTTGGGCTATAACATCATGAAGTGCAAGAGGGGTGGCGTAATTCTTAAATCTTAATAATTTAGATATGTTTTATGACATGATAAGAGAGAATATATAAACATGCAAGAAATGCTTGAAATACTAAATCAATGTCTCATAGAGTAAATATATGTGTATAAATTGTTATGAGGAAAAAACTCATAGTTTATCGGCTGGAGTAGAAGGGTACGTCCGGTCCACCACTAAAGACGTCACTGATATTTAGGATTTGGCCGCGCTTTTTTCCGTAACACCCTTGTAGTCGAAAGATCTTAAACATAAAAATGACACAAGTATTCAGAGTTTGACAACACCCTGACAAGCAACAGTTTTTATGACCAAAACGTGCCTACCCGGTGAAACCAAACCTTATAAGCAATGATAACCGAAGATGTACTGGACAGAATATCGATACATCGAGAAATGCTTAATCCAAACTGGCCAACGATTATGTGTGATGTGAAGCACGGCGTACACACCCGCTATCTGATGCGGATGCGTGACCGAGCACCTTCAGCCTTGGTGTGTCCAGTTGAACTAGTGAGGTTAGTATTATTATTAAAGACACATAGGACTGTTTATTTGGTGGATTCATTCATCACTAAAGAGGGATTGGTGTAACCACTGCTTTTCTATCTCTTGAGTTAATGACAAGATAGTTTCGAACTTCGGCTTCCTGGTGGAACGTAACTAGAATCATAGTTCTTCACAGCGATCAAAGCTCTACAAATAGACAAATTCAGAAAAAAACGTAATGAACTGATTCTCACCACAGGTAGCATTACCAAGGTTTGACTTGATAATTTCGAATAAATTGAGCATTGGTTAGATTGGTAAATAAATAATATATTTGTAATAGCCTATGAGGTATCGGTGATAAACTGGTGCTAAATCTCGTTGAGCGCAAATGTTATCTAACTTGTCCAAAGAAACCTCAAGGACTGAGTCAGGTAAACGAATTTAATGCATTTATTACCAAAGATTGAACCTCGACGGTTTATAGCGCGGACGGTTTGTAGTCTCTGTTACTGTGATATCGTGTAGACTTTATTCGATGGCTCTCTTTACTCCTACGAACCAAAAACGGTTGACTAACATATCTGTAGTTCGCCTTAAAAAAGGTGGTAATCGTTACGAGTTGGCATGTTACCCAAACAAAGTGCAAGCTTGGCGAGACAAGCTGTACGTTATGAACTATCAAATTACGCTACAGTGAAACAAATTTAGATGAAGTTTTACAGGCTCATTGTGTCTTCACGAATGTCTCAAAAGGTCAGTTCGCTAACAAAAAGGAAATGTATGTACATTTTTGCACAGAAGATGAAAGACAAATAATAAAGACAGTAGGCTATCATTATAATATCCCAAGTTTTTAGATACTAGAACATGGAGAATTACAACTCACAGAAAAGGAACGCCTTGTAGGACAACAGGCTTTGTTTAGAGATGTAGCTAAAATAGTGTCTGAAAGATGCGTAAACCCTGAAAACAACCGGGCATACACTGTCACGATGATAGAGAAGATGATGAAAGATTGTCACATATCCCTGAAGGCTAATAAAAGTGCTAAACAGCATGTAAGTTTAGTAGCAATTCGAGTCGCTCCAGGCTTTAGAGGTAATTAAACAGTTACGGTCGGCTCCTGGATTTAAAATTGCTCCTTCAATGATGGAAGTGAATATTACCATACAGAAAGACTCATGTGAACCTGTTATCGAGAGACTTTTGCAACTATGCAATGATATCATACAACAAAGTGAATCATCCGATGGACTTTACGACTTGGTTAGTTTGGATTTATCATCTCCGATAAAGTTTATCACCTAATCTGATGTCATCCGTCTTTTTTATGACATGGAACTTCTACTTTTATATATCTGTAGACTTTCCTATACTGTTTGTGAGTAGTCGAATTCCTAAGCTTCCTGACGACTGATATTGTCCAAACGGCCTCCTAGGAGTCATTCAAGAAGAGACTTAACATGTTCTTAAAGGCTCAGGACAGTATTCCACTATAGGATATCACCATTTCTCTTTGGGTCGTCGGGTTCTGGTCTGGATGAATCGGTGATGCACTGCTTCTAAATGAGGAAACCTGTTAAGAGGAGAATTCTTTTCCACCTCCCACCATTTGAACCATTATTATTTAGAAGTAACACTACTGGTTTGGTATAGAGGCGTTATGTTCCCTAAACTGGAGAGTGAACAAAACCCAAGCAGCTTATCTGGCATCATCATGATGGTTAATCGGTCGCTTCATATTGACATATAAGTTTACTGTTTCATTCACAAATTTGGTATTTCTTTTCGTCTGCTTCAAAACCAGCATTAGCTATATGTATACGTTGACAAAAGTGATGGCTGGCTCAGTACACTTGAAGTTAATTCATACAGTGTGGAGCTGATACATCGTTAAGTATATCACAAAATTGCAATTTTTGACCGAATTCAGTCAGATATGTTTTGAAATACACAGTCATCCTCCCAAGCCAACGTAACAATCGATACCATTTCCAAGGTCCTTTAGTGTCAGAAATGGGAAAGTGTATATCCCCCTTGGGTTTGACGGTATTTTGGCACACTTTATCTACAAACATGTCTCTCCATCCTTGTGGAGTTTTTTCTTTACCTTTTGCTTTGACATCATACTTCACCTCATCCCCAACTAGTGCCCTAAAATAAATGCTATTTCAACGTCCAAGTTATGCTTCACATAATACAGTATATTTTGTTGACTATGACTGGAATCCTACACTATAGAACTATCTCGTGTCATCGAGGCTGCCGTACAAAATTTAAGAGTGATTATTCGCTTGACTTCGCTCAACCTAGAGGAACGTGTAGGGTTTTTAATCGAAGAATCAATACATGCAGGAGGTTTGCATGAATTCACCAAATTCCGATACGTTTGACTCGTGCAATACGTCTACTTGCCTGTCGAAAATACAGTGAACTGTGCAGAAGTCTCGTGTATTAGCTTATAGCTGCATAATAGCCTATTTCATTGAGTTTGTACGAGCCGGGGGTAATATGATGTGCTAAGTGCATTGTTAAAATGTGCCTCCTGAGTGAGTAATGCTAAAGTTATCGATGTACTAGATAAACTTAATTTATTGGTTAGTCATACTGTAGAGTTTTTTGGGACATTTCACATATGTCTTGTTATTACGTGTCCCAAAATGTTAATGTTGTGGTAAAATAGAACAAGAAACCTAAGATGGTCAGGTCGAGTTTGCTTTAATACTACAGTCAGTCAGTCAGCTACAACGTAGGACCAGGCACATATATGCATCGGTCCAGGTTGCCATACCGCATCAGCACAACAAGATGAACACCGGATTCATAGCAGTGGTTATGTCAAAGGTGGTAATATATAAGAGAAAGATTGCATATAGAGATATAGTACAAGAAAAAATTGGTTCGTAGAAAGGTATGAAGCGATTTTAATCTCTTAGTTTAAGGGAAGACAGGGAGTGTATACACCGACGCCATTGTGATCGATTCTGAGCCATGTCACCAAGAGTCTCCAACCATTGGTTACGAAAGTCACGCGGACCCCAACCAAGTAGTCTGCATCTACCAACATGGCTCAGACTAGAAGTTAGTGACTTCAAGCACTGATGCCACGTTTTGGTTTGGCCGCCCCTAACTTTCTTCCAACCATCTCCAATACCGGATAGCATTGCACGTCGTGGTAATCGGTGTTCAGGCATACGTAACACGTGGCCCAACCATCTCAGTCGATGAAGATTCATAACCTCATCAACTGATTTATTATCATTTCCTAATACCCTGCGTCTAACCTCACGATTACTTACCCGGTGATCCCAGCAGATGCCAGCAATATTTCTAAGGCATCTGTGGTCAAATACTAGTAGCTTCAGGTGTCTTCTACTCTTAAGGGCCATGTTTCGCTGCCGTAAATTATTGATAGACGGATATCTCGCCTTCGCCAAAGGTGACGTAAGTTGGCAAAAGCCAAACGAGCTTTTCGAATCCGTGCTGAGATTTCGTCAGACACCAACCCATTAGGGCTGATCAGACTTCCAAGATAAGTGAAGTTGTCAACGCGTTCAACTACTTCACTCCCTATCCTTAGTTCAGGTGTTGACGGAGACCAGTCCTGAAGCAACAATTTGCATTTAGAGGGAGAGAAGCGCATCCCAAACATTCTGGCATTTTTGCTTAGTGCTACCAGAAGACTCTGCATTTTGTCAGCGTCTTCACCAAACAGGACTATGTCATCTGCGTATTCTAAGTCGATAAGTGGACCTCCTGGAAGGAGATCAATACCCGAGAATTCAGTCGACGAGAGTGTTATTTCCATCAATAGGTCTATGATAAAGTTAAACGAAAATGGAGAAAGTGGACAACCTTGACGGACACCACTTGAGGTTGTAAAAGTAGATGACAGTTCGCCATAAGCCTTGACTCGACTAGTAGTGTTCGAGTAAAGAGCCTTCACAAGGTTTATGTACTTCTGAGGTACGCCTTTCAATGACAGACACTGCCACAGAGTCTCGCTGTCTACCGAGTGAAATGCTGCTTTTAAGTCAAGAAAGACCACCATCGTCGGACGCCGATAGGTATGCCTTTGTTCTAGAACCTGACGAATGGTGAATATGTGGTCGATGCAGCCACGACCAAGTCTAAAGCCAGCTTGGTTCTCTCGAGTTTGTAGTTCACGAGTCTTAGTTAGGCGTTTGATAATTATCGAGGCCAGTATTTTAGATACTATGTTTGTTAAACTAATCCCTCTGTGGTTGTCACACGATGATTTTGACCCTTTCTTATATATTGGGACGATAAGTGATTGCGACCAGTCAGGTGGGATAAAGTCTAATTCCCAGATCTTAGCTAGAATATTAGTCAACCTAATCGCTAAAATTGGACCACCATCCTTAAAGACCTCTGAAGCCAATCCATCTGGACCAGCTGTCCTTCCTCGTTTCAGATTAACTATAGCCTTTTGAACTTCAGCAAGAGTCGGGGGACCTACTTCAATGTTCCATTCACACTGTCTGGGAATGGAGGGTAGTTGTAGAGTAGCTGAAGGCCAGCTGAACTGTTCTCTAAAATGTTCCGCCCATCGTTCTAAACGTCTGGACTGGTAGCAGATGAGAGTATCATCTTTTTCCGAAATAATCTCACTTACACTTGACTTATTAATTCCAGTTTCTTTTATTAGTCTGTAAAGCTGTCTTGTGTTCCCTATAGTCACCGCCTTTTCCATCTCTTTTGCTTTCGTTACCCACCACTGCTCACGGTCGTTCTTTAGACTTTTTCTTAACCTAGATCTGATTTGTTTTCGCTCTTCATCATGTTCAGAACCTGATGGGACGAGTTTGCGAGAATCCATCAGTGTGACAGACCTTGAAGAAATCCACTGGTTCCTTGCAACTCTGTGGTTTAAGTCACTAATAGATGTCAATGCTGTTTCCACAGCTGATTGTATGCCCTTCCAAGCAACATCTGGGTCAGCCTCGTCTTCACAACTACCTAAGTGTGACCTCAGTTGTTCCTGGAACCTACTTTTGGTTTTCTCGTTACTCAATCCAGTTCTAACGGGTCTTTTTAATGTGGCTTTTTTGCGTCCAGTGAGGCGCAAGCAGATGCGTGCCCGTATTAGGGCATGGTCGGAGTCCAAGCAGGTAAACCAGAATGAGCGAAAATCTTCTACCGACCCTCTCCAACGATGACTGATGGCAATATGGTCTATTTGAGTCCATCGTTGGTTTGGTGTAGGGGGTCGCCATGTTAGACGATGTCTCTCCTTATGCTTAAAATTTGTGTTTGCTAAAAATAAACGATTGTCTGAGCACAGTTGCAGCAGACGATCACCATTATCTGTTCGCTGTGTTGGAATACTAAAATATCCACCTAAATGCCTTTCCGTTTGGTTTAAACTGCCTATCTGAGCATTAAAATCACCTGCTACGAGTACTATGTCTGAGCGTTTAGCTTTCTGAAGAAGTCTATAAGTTTTGATATTAGTTGATATTTTTATTTACCAAATTAACACAATTTTGAGTTCATCTACATTTTTAGTTTTCACTAACACTGATGTTAGTTTTCTGTCGATCCTTCGGTGTACTGATGAAAAGTTTGGCAACTTGGACTAACGCATATTTGTTTCAGGTCCTGGGTCGTTTATGATTTAGACTACATTACATCTATTTTCGCGAACATTCGTTAAATCTTAAAGGCTAAATCAACTCGAATTCCCATACTGTTAGCATGTTAGTATATTTAGTGTGTTTTATTTTGTCGTATTCAAGAAAGCTTCATGTTTTACTTTTAAGACCGCTGTTGTTGAACCTGAGAAATATGGCTCTATCGAAACACTTCTCCACAACGAAATAAAGGGTAAATATTCCATAGAAATTTCCGATGGTACGAAGTGTAGTCACAAAGGACTCACAAATTTAAACTCTGCTTTAACAGTAAAAACAGAAGTTGGGGAAAGAAAAGTTGTGAAAAATGTTCCAGATAAAAATGTTTCATCTCAGTTGAATGACAATAGGATTACTCAGTCATCTGAAGCCTCAGTTTCTGTTGAAAAGAAAGGCAAAAATACGTCCAAGAGAAAGAATAAAAAAGGTTCCAAACGTAATGATGATTGGTCTGATGACTAATCTAGCTGATTGTTGTGATGTTAACTTAGTCTTCAACCAGTCGGATTTATAATGATTTGTTTTCTTCTCTACCCTTAATGTGTATCATAAATTAATAAAGTCAATTTTTTATGCTCTGACTTCCCAATTTAAATATCTGACTTCAGCGCCATTCAGGTTACTATCAGTCTATAAAACCTCATTATTACTGAGATACAGTGGACTTCGTATATCTCATTTGATATCGATTATCTAAATGTTAGAGCTTGTTTTTCTGTCACTTCACGCAACCGGACTCATTGATATCTACATGCTTAAAGGCTAACCGAAAAACATATGAATTGAGAGCTAGCGTGTTTTGGTAGCTTTGCATTCGTTTGTCATTGTAATGCGATAAACCATGTTTGTAGGAGCTTTTAACCACTTAAATAACCAGACTTTGTAATTAAAAAAGGATATTCAAACCAGTTATTCATAGACCTGCAAGCAAAGTTAAGCTGTCTTCTTGCCATCCTTAATAATACAGTAAACTTCAGTAATGTCAAGCTTGGTTCACTGTTCGTGAGAACAGTTCTCCAGTACATAAGGAAAGTCTGTTTTAGAATGATCACGAATTGAACGAATATGCGTTCTTACCTACAAAAGCTGCTTTCTAAGTCAGGCCTAGAGGTCAAATCCTTTTCCATTTCTAGTGATAATATTAGATGCTTATGTAAATAGTTCTCTGGACATCTTTAGACCGGTAAATCTTGTTGATGTGTTATGGAATTTCGATTTCACAGATTCGTTTATTTTGACCTAAAGAAATGTCATGTTTATCCTAGGAATCGCTCAGTTATAAATGACGAAACTGAAGATATATCTTCAGACATGCTATGTTTATCATTTCTAGTAGCTAGTTATTCATACGCTCAGACAAACTCTTCGAAAGCGGCAAGACTAATTTAGAGACGAGCCAATCAGATGCGTTTGAGCAACTTCAAGGTCACAGAGCCAAGTTCAACACGCGATGCTAACATACAACCTGCTCACAGCGGATTTTAGAGAGGTGATTATTGAGAGGTTACAACATGTGAGACGGCTAGACTCTAATTTAGGGACGAGTCAGTGAGAAGCGTTTGAGCAATTTCAATTATTAGCCTATCAGAAGACAGTATAAAGTAAAAATATATTACAAGAAAGTAATGAATTACAGTGGATATTCTTCTTTTACATGAATAAAAAACTTGTTAAGATTAGATAGAGGCTCAGAAGTTCTGAATTCATAATGCATACGGAATAGAAACTCGTGCATAGGGTTAAGGTTAGGCTGCTAACATGAGATCGGATTTCAGAGATGTGTTTATTGAGGGGCTACAACCCTAACCCTATGGACGAGTTTCTATACCATATGCATTAAGAATTCAGAACCTCTGAACCTTTATCAAACCCTAACAAGTTTTTAAATCATGTAAAAGAACAATATCCACTGTAATTCATGACATATTTTCACTGTATACTAAGTGTCTTCTGATTGGCTAACAATTGTCAAGTTCATTTTAGATTCGTTCAAAGGTCGTCCCTAAACTAGTCTCGCCGCTTGGGTTGAGTTCTGAGAGATGTTGGACTAAGGATTGTGAACTTGCTTGATTACAAGACAGTGATCTAGGGTCTAAGCTATCAAAATTTAGCTTTATGAAGTTCAATATCGGTGTGCGGTTTTACTAATTGTCTGCACTGTGAAGCCCACGAGGACAGTCGGTACTGTGGTTGGTCACTTTTAACTGACGCCAAGGTCATCCTTGAAATATCTCAGGGTCACGACCATGATTTGGTTTCTTGTTCACTTCCTGTAGCCAAATTAGCTGAGTCCACTCAAGGTCGTCTTAGCACTAGATCATGTTGAAGTCCTGTGACCTGCTGATCATGATCAGAACTGCAGTTCTGTGAACAAGGATTTATTGATAACATTATTGTTTTAAACTTTTGTGACGATTACAATAAGTAAGGAATTTCCCCGACATACTAAAAAATATGGTTTTATCAGTCTTTATCCGAGCTCTCAATTTTGGGGAAATTTGGCACATTTTGGGGAAATGGCACAAAAACCCCGAAATTTCCCCAAACTTTAGGGAAGTCTATTTCAATTTGGGGATTTCCCCAAGGTTGGGAACTTGGGTAGTAATAAGGATAATAGGGTGGTGAACCAGTGTTAATCTAAGAAAACAAATGGATTTTCCCAAGTTTTTGAAATTTCTGCGGATATATTTAGAACCCAAAATCGAGAGATCGAAGTTAACCTCGATATTACGTGTTGATCTACAGGACTTTTATTGTGATCTGTTCAACTCCTATAATAACTTCAATGATCGATGGGCAGACATAGCAGACTGTTCGTTACTTCCCATTTGCACCTGAGTTTTAGAAAGATTATTGCTCGGCCACTGTATTATAAAAATATCTCACTGTATCTGAGTGGCTTTCCACAGTTAATCTCAACCAACTGGGATCTCGCATGGTAGCAAGACCCAGTTATTAGTTCGTGGAATGTTCAATCTAGGTGATTTGATTAGTTACATTCTCATTTTCCAGTTTCTTTGTATCCCTTAGACTTCCCTATCATTCCAGATAGTTGTTTGCATGTATTTATTTACTTTAGAAGTTCCTGTTGGTTTATCTGGCTGACAACTTGAAGATTTTATGCTTGTCCAATGTTTATGAAGCATGAATATATATTATCATGATTTTTCTTGATTCTCCCTTACTATCAATTTAAGTGGACTCCTTACTGATGTTAAATTATTTAGATGGTTGTGGACAGAGTAGAAATTTTTTACCAAACATGCTTTTGTATCTAGTCGCAATGGGTCAGCGGTGCTCCAGATAGAGATTTAGGTACTGTAAACAAACAGTAGGGAAGTAATATTGAATTAGTGTTATATGCTATCATGGGACCTTAAGAATATATCAAGTTTCATCTTGAATGTCTCCTGGAAAGTCGTTCGAACTACCTTAGTCGGTGAATTCCAGGACTTGACTAATTTTAAGGTATGTCTACAATCCATCTTTCTATATTGTACCTATAATTTCTGGGTATTAATCCTCAGGTTTGTGTCGGGACTGGGCCTAAGTAGGTATCTTTAAGGGTGTCTAAGTTTTCAGGATGGTACAAGTCATTAAAAGATCACCTCTTAGTTGCCATTACGTAAGTTGGTATCGATCTTATTCGACCTGAAACAATTAGAGATCATTGCCTAGGTTGTATTGTTAGTCTTTCTTAAGTTCTAGCTTATCATCCCGGTTATAAACGTGTCTCCAAAGCTTATCGTAGTAAGCGAAAAGGAGTATTTCGGATGATACTTGCAGAGGAAGGTCATTCCTACAAGTTTGAAAGGAAAGAGGTCTTAGTACCGAATCCTGAGGGGCTTCATCAAGACGTTCTGAGGCCAGAGAAAAGTTAAACTTGAAAAGCTTGAAAATTCGACTTTGTGAATATGAGTTATATCAGTCTATATGTGGTGGTGTTCTCTCACGAAATCGTAATGTTGGAGTATAAAAAGTTCTCCAACGTTGGAAAATGAAGCCTTTGAAATGCTATATTATCTATGCTTCTGTCCTATACCTTTTTATATGATTTGTTGCTGCTAAATTACTCAAAGCATGTAGTTTCATTGCCAACACGGGATTTGTAGAGTAAGACAATTCGTCAGGTGATTTTGGGTTCAGAGAAGCTATTGTCATTGTTTACGTTCAAAAATTCCAATTAGCAAAAAAGTATGGGAAAGTTTCGTTGCCCTACTCTGGTGCTTTTTTTAACAATCTCACTTAACCTATTTTCTATGTTGTTTAATAAACGGACCACTATAGGAATTCTCGAACTACCTAAAACGACTTTTGTTCCGGCTGATATGTTTTCCTGTCTTTATCTTGATCTCGTCAGTGTTGTTAAACGAGTTATTGTTGTATCATTTTGTATATATTCTGTTAACGTTTTTAAAATTCAACGTAGTGCCCAAATTATCGATCACGGGTATTTCAGAATACTAGAAATAAAATAAAGACACCCAGAATATATCTCATTAATCTTTTTAGTTACTCAGTATACTTTAAGGCTTTTAATGGCCCTCCATGGCTCAGCTTGCTCAAGATCTCATCTATGGGCCTGCAAAAGAAATAATCTGCAGATCACTACAAGGATCTAGTTATGAAATTTACACTGAAGTTAGTTTATCAGAATCACCGAGTAATCAGCCTAAAGGTTTGAATCAAGTATGACGAATCGTAAATCATTTTGGCTAGAAACAATACAAAAACTTGTCCATATTTTTAACTTGTGGTGACAAACCGTATAGAATCAAATGAAATAGGTGCGAATATATAGCTCATATAGTAGTGCATTCAGGTGTATTATTATGTGAAGACATTTCGGATTGAGATTAAATTTCAGCTATATTGTCATGGCTCTTCAATACTCAGTTTGGTCTATCACAAACCAGCGGATAGTTCATGGATCGATAGCGTGTTTTATTTTAATGTTGGAGTTTGCGTTTAACTGTAGTAAGCATGAAACCTCGAAGTGGGTATTGTTTTAAACTTTTTAAGATTTATTTCAATCTTTTTGAGTTAATGCTCTTTACCCTGTTGCTTACATTTACTGAAAATAATACATGACCATTTCATAGCACTATTTATTTATTATTTTTCTTCACATAAGTGCTTTTTGTACGCAAGTGTGTCATCTGTTATAGTTCTTTTGAAACTTTTACTGTTTTAGGTATAATTACAACATGAGTTTACTAAAAAATGTTCATCATGTTCGATTCGCTACCAAAAGTTTATGGCAGACTTGTAAAACACTAATAAAAGGTTTCGGATTCACGCTCCACTGTTTGTTCAAATGCGGTTCAGAAATAAATCTAGTGCTAAAAAGTAATCAATCGGTAATAATGCTTAGCGAAATCAAAACATTGTCCAGTGTTCATCACCCATTTAAGTACCATTCAGAAATCAGTAACTGGTGTACAAAACGTGATGGACCATGTGACATTGCTTTAGAAGTAGTTGATGTGTATGAAGTTTGTGAAAGGGTTTCCCGGTTTTCTGGGTTTGAGAACATTCTTTTGGAACCTACTACTTATGCTGATTATGATGGAAAAATTGTTTTAGGAGTAATCAAGTCATGTGTTGGGGATTTGCTTCATACGATTGTTGACTCGTCACAGTATAAAGGCTTGTTTTTGCCTGGATACACATCGGGACAGAGTGCAAATGATGACTTAAAGGAAGCACTAAATAACAATGGATCGAATCCCAATTCTTTTGTGAAATATACTGATCATATAGCAATCGCTGGGGATATTGGAGATTCAGATACTTTTATGAATTGGTACAAAACAGTATTTGGAATGAAACGCATATTCATTAATATGTGAGTTACTTAATAGTTTATGATCATTTATGGATGCTAAAACAGACAGGATGATGAATCCCAAGGGTTTATAGTAAAGTTCAAAAATACTGGAATGATGTTGAAAGCAGTTTGTCATAAAGATCCAACTTCGAATTCTGATTATCGTAATGCATGCAAATTTGTCTTTGTTGAGCCCACGAAAGATTCAGGTATGTTGCGTAAATGCATTAAGCTTCATTGTTGGTTGGTTTTTCAATTATAGATATTTTTTGCATATTAATATATATTCACAAGAGATAAGTTTTATCATGACTTTATGTCGGGCTAGTTATCACGTGATTTATCCACCAATCAGAATACGACTTATGCAATCTTAGCACTGTGCCAAACTAATGACGATCGACCGGTATAAGCACCTTAGCGTCCTTATTGGTCCTATGTCCGCCTAGCCTGTCCACTTGAGTCCAGAACACCAATACCAGCTTCCAATATGTGAATCGAATCATTTATTTCAGAAATACTGGGTTTATTTATCAACCAAACAGACCGCGGCGCATAATAAAATAGAAAATAACATTTGTACACAATAAAGCCCAAAGTGGCTGTGAACGTGGGAGACAGTAGTCAATAAACTGAGCATAGCTTACGAGCAGTAAATCATACAATGATAAATTATAGGTCAAAATGAAGCTTATTATAAGAGGAATATAAATATACATAATCCAATTATTGAATAGTTATACCATAAGAATATATTGATAATATTAGTCAATTAATATGTCTCAGAAGTTACTCGTGATTTGATCTTCGCTCGGATATAACAAGTTTGGTAGTGATAAAATGACTATTAAAGAATCAACAAAAATTGTCCGTTTGTTTGGTATTAGTTTTAGCGACAAAAAAGGGTGTTTAGTGGTTGTTACTGTCATGCAACCCACATCGTATTTAATTTTAACCTATTTATCTTTAATGTTCGACAATAGTCCCAGAAAACGTGTCCCGACCGTTGTTGCTACCTTGACGTGGTGGTCGGGCTTGCCTATCGTGATGAAGCAACCGAGCTATACTAGCTAGAACAACCGTTCCTCAAGGTCCTACCATGTCAGACAGGTCGGTTGAAGAGCGGTAAGACTAAAAGCAACAAACCCAAGGTCCGAAGGCGAAGTCGTACTGCTGACTGTACAGAGGTGTGACAGCAGTAAGGTGTTTCCTTCAGACAACCAGCATGGCAGCGATGCTGCCTTCCCACAAGGAGGGGTGGGGTTAGAAAACGTCGACCCTAAAAATGCACACCTCACCTTACCTCACGGATTTCCGTCTCCGGCGGTAAGGCTCTTTGAAGAAAGGAGCACGGATTCGAAAAGCTCGTTTGGCTTTTGCCAACTCACGTCACCTGTGGCGAAGGCGAGATATCCGTCTATCAATAAAAGGACGAGTATACTGCGCGGCAGTCCGTTCTGTTTTAATTTACGGCAGCGAAACATGGCCCTTAAGAGTAGAAGACACCTGAAGCTACTAGTATTTGACCACAGATGCCTTAGAAATATTGCTGGCATCTGCTGGGATCACCGGGTAAGTAATAGTGAGGTTAGACGCAGGGTATTAGGAAATGATAGTAAATCAGTTGATGAGGTTATGAATCTTCATCGACTGAGATGGTTGGGCCACGTGTTACGTATGCCTGAACACCGATTACCACGACGTGCAATGCTATCCGGTATTGGAGATGGTTGGAAGAAAGTTAGGGGCGGCCAAACCAAAACGTGGCATCAGTGCTTGAAGTCACTAACTTCTAGTCTGAGCCATGTTGGTAGATGCAGACTACTTGGTTGGGGTCCGCGTGACTTTCGTAACCAATGGTTGGAGACTCTTGGTGACATGGCTCAGAATCGATCACAATGGCGTCGGTGTATACACTCCCTGTCTTCCCTTAAACTAAGAGATTAAAATCGCTTCATACCTTTCTACGAACCAATTTTTTCTTGTACTATATCTCTATATGCAATCTTTCTCTTATATATTACCACCTTTGACATAACCACTGCTATGAATCCGGTGTTCATCTTGTTGTGCTGATGCGGTATGGCAACCTGGACCGATGCACATATGTGCCTGGTCCTACGTTGTAGCTGACTGACTAGAAAACGTGTAAATGAGATCAAGCAACATATTCTTAAAAGATTTTGTGTTGATATATTCGTCTTACCACTAAGCTAAATTTACCGGAGCACACAAAACATTGGTGGAGGTAGGTAGAATATGTAGCTCTCTAAATATTTAAGTGGTACTATTCGTAATCGATTGCAACAAAGTTGATGTTTTCATACTTTATCGGGCGCTTTAAGTATAGAATTTTCATTCTGTACATCCACTTGTGCTTTTTTAAACATATTTTTTGCCTGTTTTTACATAACAGCTTTAGGATATTGATAGAAAAATTAGTTTTTTCCTGTTCCTTAGATATGTTTGTATTATAAAATCAGTTTTTTCTGACCCATGACCAATCAACTGTATATTTCAGTATGATAGTTTACTTAATTTTGTCAAAGTTCGTAGATTGTACAAATGGATTGGTTAGATTTCTGAAATTTAAGACAAGGTTTGAGATTATTTTAAGACGAAACGGATCTACTGTAACTAACTAGATCAAGTGGCTCAAACAGAACAACACTTCAACAATGATAATCTATATGTGAATAGGTGGAAGAGAAAAAAAGGACTTTCATGAGAGTTTTTATGTCCCAAGGGAAGACATGAGTAGACACCGCAGTATTTATGGCACTGTACAGTGGAAATTAATAAACAAAAATAGACTTGGACGAAGTAAAGTTGCAACATTACAAAGATTAAGGTGTAAAAGCTTACAATAACTATGGTTTTGGTAGCAACAACAACAGGTCTCGATATAATACTGTTTTTGGTCAACCGTAATAAATCATTTTATGGTTACTATGAAGTAATATTTAAAAAGCATGTATTCTTAACGGACTCTCATTCATGCATAGGTTCACTTACTTTTTAAGGCTTTTAGCGCTTTAATTTTTATGTCCTGTGTGGAACAACAATTCCCTTCAAATCGAAATTTTTATCCCTGTAAGTTGTTTGAAAAATACTTTCCCAGTTGCACAAAGCACCCAGTTTTTATGTTATAAAACCCTTTTAGTTACTTGTACAATGCTAATTCTACTAGTCTTCAGTATTGGTTAGCATTAACATGTTCATTATAATATTCAGGGATCAAAATGCAGTTCGTACATTTTTTTCATTCGATTAACGTGAAATATGTTTATTTACATATATCAAAATTTACTAGCTGACTGGGATAGGATTGGATTAAGAAGTCCTATGAACGGATTAAGTGAAACCTAGCATCAGTTCATAAAGTCATCTGCTGTTGCTGTTGAGTTAAATTTGTAGGTATTTTATTTATTTATTTAAACACATTAACATTGGTACAAGGAGACACCGAATATACGGCTAGGATACTACTCGGGCACCCAAACTGAAACAGGTGGCTTTCTAAGCAGGCCACTACCCCAGCCTTTGACCTAGAGGTCCGATCCTCAAGGCGGTGGAACATTACGAGAAGTAGTCCCATAGTAGCCGGTGTCCAAAAGTAGGTTCATACGCCTTTTGTTCCCTCAGAATCCTGGAGACCATGTTCACCATCGGTTTGGAATCAGGGTTTTCCAGCCTCCTTAGGTGGATCCTTCATATCCACCAACCCGGTTAGAGCGCCGGGCGTTAGCCTTTGGTCGTCTCAACTTCGCAAACAACACCGCATCCGCGAGAAGTGAGTGAGTAGGACTTACTCTGCACTGACTGTATACACGTGGCCATGTGAGAGCATCTCGAGAAGGAGAACGAACTCTCCCCACCCTCAACCGTACCATCACATTTGGGGTTAGGTCAGTCGGTTCATAGTTCTAGCTTAGGAAGAGCTCATTAATTTTAAGCTCTGGCCTAAAATTTTGGATGTTATAACCCAGAATTCGTTGTAGTGGTTCCGTTGCATCCATTTATTTCCTTACTGTGAATTATGATTTTAGTGCCATTTAATTATTCCATTTCATTTGTTCCTTTTAGACTACATTTCTCGTATTTAGTTTCTACTTTAACTGACATTATTAGCTCTACTTATTTACTATCCATCATTTGAATTTGCTTTCACACTATGTTAATGTGAAGTTTGTCGACTTGGGCGTATACACATACGTAGCAGGTCTTATATTGTTTGTTAACAACTCATTAGAAACTACATTAGCATCAATGTTTTCAATTTCAGTGGTATTTTCAAAACGAATTTTAAAGATTGATAAAGATTTAAAAGGTGCACACTTCCGTATTAATTTGTTCAACAAAATTTCCTAATAAATAATCTTATTAAAAAGGAAGAATGTATTTGTAAAATCTCAGCGAACTAATTTGAAGTAAATCCGACGTTTCGCCTGGTAATCTTACTTACTTACGCCTGTTACTCCCAATGGAGCATAGGCCGCCGACCAGCATTCTCCAACCCACTCTGTCCTGGGCCTCCTTTTCTAGTTCCATCCAATTCTTGTTCATTTTTCTCATGTCTATTTCCATTTCTCGGCGTAATGTGTTCTTTGGTCTTCCTCTTTTCCTTTAGCCTTGAGGATTCCATGTGAGGGCTTGTGACGCAGTTGGGGCCTGATAATCTAGTTTAATAATTTTGATGTTTGATTATATTTCCTGGAAAAAGCTTGGACTAGATTACCAAGCGAAATGTTGGATTTAATTCAAATCCATTCGCTGAGATTTTACAAATGCATTCTTCCTCTTTAATGTCTCACATCAACTCGGCTCCCAAATACTGTGAAACTATTCAATCAAATTTAGACGAAAGTTCTTATAAATAACCTTACATACGTGAAGATTCATCTTTTTTACACCTAACTTACTAACTGAAGTTGTTTTTTATTGCTGTAGAACCTAGTCAAGTGACTCGATTTCTACAAGCTAATTCAGGTCCAGGCTTACAACACATGGGACTCGCCATTGATAACATTATAGATGTAGCAGCTACCTGTCATCAAAATGGTATAAAATTTATCACTGCTCCAGACGTCTATTATGAAGCTGTAAGTTGTTTGGAAAAAAATTCCCAATTCTCATGTTATTAGTCATTTTTAATACGTAGTCCATCAGTAAAGTACCTATTGTTAACAGCCAAACAATCAGATATGGACAACAGTTTATAAGATGCGAATTGACCCGATTTCTTACCTGTACATTAATCACTTCGATCAAAATAATTGTAAACATTGGATGTATTGGCTACTAATCACTAAGTTATCGAGCTGTTGATCAGCTCGGTTTTAAGATTGAAATTTATTATTATTTATGGAGTAGATGATGCACTTTGCAAAAACATAAGTACATGAATTTATTTTACTTTGAAATGTAACTCCATGATGCGGAAAAGGTGTTTTCAAATATTATCTGTAATATAATTGTCACCTCTGTTGAGTCTGCGGTCCTACCGCTTATACTTGGAAAACGGAACTACTATTATTCCCACGACTCAAAGTGTTAACATATAAACTGATACAATAAAAGGTTTATTTATCGATTATCCAAAACACGACGTCCACAGAGTCCAATGTCTCAATATAGGGGACTTGGTACTAATATGGGATGGAACGGTGGTTTACTAGGTAAAATACTGGTCGACTAAAGGCTCAAATCCCCCACTACATACTTCGATTTGGGTGGTCTCATAATATTACTAACCTGTCACACAAACAGTGTCTCAAAGCTGAACACCTAAACTCTGATTGACAAACGCTTTTTCTTACCTTTTTTCAGTAGTAATATGAGCTGAAGTAATAAGACAAGAAAACAATTTTCTGAGTATTTATAACCATAAGAGCAAACTTTTTAAAAACATATAGGATGCTTTAATTTTCATATAGCATACTCTTCATTAAGATTTAGCAAAACCTTTATCGTGGTATTTATTCATGTTCAAACTGGTCAAATGGATCTGTGAGTAATGAGGCTCACGGAATAAACGTTGAGTGGTGTAGCTCAGAATTGATCATTCTTTATCTTTCTTTGGATTCTGAATTCTATTAATCGTACATACATATATTTTTGTTTTGATATATATTCTTAATACGTTGTTTCGACTCCTTTAATATTCATTTGTAACTTTAATCTCGTCGTTGTTGTATGCCATGGCAACTTGGACTAATATACATCTATTCTAGGGTCTACGTTGATTATGTCCAGCTGATTAATCTGTGAGTAGTTATCTCTAGACCGTTTTGTCGTTGGATAATAAACACATGTCAGTTAGTATCCAAGTTCAGAGTTGTAATTGAATTCAGTTTAAATCAAGCATTGCTTTCTTCCATATGACAGACTATTATATATTTTTCAAACAAGGCAAAAAATCATTTTGAATAAAATCTGTTTTAGTTATCTCAGCGTATCAACTTGGAAGAATTTTCTTTGGATTTAGAAAAACTTAAAACAACTGGCATACTTGTAGATAAAGAATTAAACAATGAAGGTTATCAAATAGGGTAAGTAAACATAATAAAGATTTTTTTGTTAAGCCTATACAATTTACCATAATGTTGAGGTTGATGTGAACAGAGAAACAAGAAGCCTTACCAACAACAGAAGCTATTTTTGAGGACGTTATTTCATTTAATTCAAAGCTTGTAGAATCCTAAAATTTATTTTTGTCCCTAGTTTATTCTACAGACCATAAGCTTTCTTTTGATATATGATTTATTACCATAACCTTTTTTGTTGCAAAGCTGTTGTAATTTAAACATAATCTTTTGTACTCGATTTTCTACCTTAATCCTCAGTTTTGGACGTAGTTATATTTTCCCAATTGTTTCTGCGTTGTGGTCATGTTAGTCATCTATTTCTTCATGTATCTTTTTACACTAATCTGAATCGGGACCAAATCGGAAAAAAGAATAAATAAAATACTGTTCTAGTTAACTCCTCTTTTCTCTCAGGCGCGCTTGTCAGCTAATCACGTGATAGAATAGTTTTCGTTTCTCTACGCTCAAGCAGTTAGTTTCACTTCGAGCTCACGCTTACTAACCTCAGGGTTAAACCAACCAGTCATCTTGTCAAGGTCTTAATCTAGATTGAGACAAGCTATCTTCTACATATTAGTGGGTAGACAGATCAAGGAAGTAACAGAAGTATTGCTCATGGTAATTTTAACTTAACTGTTAGAACTTATAAATTTCAAATATTACCCTCCATGTTTAAACCTTACTTTATCAAAGTCAATGTCAACAACTGGAAAGTATCACTACATTCTTCATTCACAAAATCGAATGGACTAGCTTGAATATTTGTTTATTGTTTTACCACAACCTATTCTTTTTTTTAAAAAATTGTTTTATGATTTCACTTATTATCTGTATCAAATTAACTTTGTTTATTTAAACAAATCCTTATATCACTTCATCGTTATCATTAGATTATGATATAGATATTACTCAAGCTAGCTCTTAATATCGTCCATATCACTTTAATGAACAAAGATAAATAAATTTACTCGTATTTATTTTAACAAAGTTAGGCAGTTAAGAATCGAATGGATTTGAAATTTATTGTATACGTTACTGAATAACAAAATGAGAATTCAGCGAGGAAAATTTTTTTTTCGACGAAATCATTTACTTAAGCTGTACATTCGTATATATAGTTATATGGAAAAGGTATGTCTATAGAAGGATAGAAAGGATTGTATCACAAAAATGGATTCGAGAATAAATAACAAATGAGCTTAACGTACTAATCAAGGTGTAAGGAAGAACAGAATTTATGGGTCAGATAATAGTCCAGTTGACACCCCCGCCACGAGAAGGCAATGAGTAGGACTTCCCTGGCAGAGGCTGTATACGCGCGGCCGTGTGAGAGTATTTCGAGATATGTAGAAAAGCGGCAAATAACAAAGGTCATAATGATAAACTGAAAACTTGTATAAGGTAATAATAATAAATGATTAGAGTTTTTTGTCTGGGCGACATAACACTAAGTCCTGATTTCTCCGAAGACCAGATAATTGAGATTTATGTTCTTTTGTGAGTAATCGATTAATTGCAGGTGTGAAGCTTGCTCAGACAAGGGAGCAGGAATTTTCCTTATGGATCGTCTTGACTATGTTACCAAAATATCTTCGATATTATCTGATCCTGTCAAATTCTCTATTGAGACCGTTCAAAAAGACACAACTCAAAAAACTGAACAGATGCTAGTTAAAATCTTAAAGAAAATAAAAGATGATTCTATTATCAATTGTGACCTCAATGAACACCTCAAACTACGGGTTCCGTTATACCAAGACTATATGAACTCCCAAAAGTTCATAAGAATAATGTCTCACTACGTCCTATACTTAATATGAACAACTCTCCTTATCACTTGATCGCTAAATGGTTAGTTGACATTTTACATCCTGTTAAAAATCATATCAATAAATACAATTCTCTTGACTCCTTTGAATTTGTCGACTCAATTAGAAACATCAACGTAACCGGTAAGAAAATGTTCTCATTAGATGTCACTTCTCTTTTTACAAATGTTCCTCTCACAGAAACCGTTTGTATTTCACGTGACTATATTGAAAACAATAATATTGATATGTGTATCCCAAAACATTACCTTAAAGAACTACTACTACGATGTACGCTCAACGTGCAATTTAGATTTAATGATGTTTTCTATAGACAAATAGATGGCGTTTCAATGGGCTCTCCATTGGGTCCTCTTTTGGCGGATTGTTTCATGGCTAATCTAGAAAATTCAGTACTTCGACCAGTAATTGATAGATTTCATTTATATGAGAGATATATAGATGATACTTTCATTATTTGTGAAGAAGACATGGACCTCAATGAATTCTTGAATATTTTCAATAATTATCACCCATCAATTCAATTTACCTTAGAAGTAGAGGCAAACCATGAATTTCATTTTCTTGATGTCCGATTAAAAAGAATGTCTGACGGATTTTAACAAAGATCTATATACTGAAAACCAACTTGGAATGGCCAATACACGAACTTCCATAGTTGGGTTCCACTAAGTAGAAAAAGGAACTTAATTCACTCTTTATCCTCTAGGATCAAGTGAATCTGTTCTAATGACACAACAGATGGGGAACTATTTCATCTTTGACAGACCCTCATCAAAAATGGTTATCCACTGAGATTCGTTGATAGCAACTTGGCACCCAGACTTCATGACAAAACATCGACAGTAGAGAAGAAAACTCTATTTATGAATATGGAATTTAAAGGAGACACGGCTGCTGAAATCCTAAATAAACGGATTTCGAAATCATTGAATAAAACATTCTACTCAGCTAAGCTCCGAATCGTTTTCTCTAGCCGACCTATCATTCTGGGAGGTGTTAAGGAAAAACTTCCACTTTGGGCCACATCGATGTGCATATATAAATTTACTTGCTCATGTGGGGCAAGTTACATAAGCCGCACAAAGCGATCATTATCCAAACGCATCTCGGAACATTATCTGGCGTGGTTCTTAAAAGGGGAACGAAAAACAATCACTAGTTCGATACAGGAGCACTTAATTAACTGTGGACACATCGCTCCAAAGGACTCTCCATTTAAGGTAGTCTACAGAGTCAAAGGAACCGGATCGAAGGGGGTTCGAATCAATATTTTATGCACCGCAGAGGCATTGGCAATCCACAAACTCAAGCCTGGACTTTGCGTGCAGAAACGATTTGTCCAACCTCTCATCCTTCCTTGACCTTAATTCCTTTAATGGGTATGTTTCGGTGTTGTTTTTTTGTTGTTGTTTTTCTGCACTTTCATTTAATTATTATCGATATTTTTAAAATTACTATTTCGCACTTTTAAACTCTAATCATTTATTATTATTACCTAATACAAGTTTTCAGTTTATCATTATGACCTTTGTTATTTGCCGCTTTTCTACATATCTGTCAATTGGACTATTAGAACAACACATATAAGCGAACAATTGTTTTCAATTAGATCGTCAACAGGCTTTACTCTAATATACATGAATATTGGACTATTATCTGACCCATAAATTCTGTTCTTCCTTACACCTTGATTAGTACGTTAAGCTCATTTGTTATTTAATCTCGAATCCATTTTTGTGATACAATCCTTTCTATCCTTCTATAGACATACCTTTTCCATATAACTATATATACGAATGTACAGCTTAAGTAAATGATTTCGTCGAAAAAAAAATTTTCCCCGCTGAATTCTCTTTTTCTTATTCAATGACACTATGGGTTATTTTAAGCATACGTTACTATTGTATGTTTATTTGTCAGTATTTTATTTTCTTTTGTGAAAGAATGAGCTGTGGTTTTTGTTGTTGGAAAAAAGTGAAAATTTCTGTTAATTAAAGTTTAGGTTTCTTGTTTACGAGTTTGAAAGTATAATCAGTTTAAAAATAGTATAAATATATTTAAAACAGGAAATACTTTTTGGACTTCCCAAACCCTATGTCTAATGACTTGCGACAATAAAGAGATTAGTGAGGTATATTTTCTGTCGTATGCATTATCGAAACTTTATTTATTTTAACATATAGATATTGTTACAAGGAGGCACCAAATACATATGCGCCACACAAACCTCATTCGTTATGTGTGAGGGCTGTGATACTGCCCTGGTGCCCAAACCGAAGCAGGTTGTTTTCTTAGGGGGCCACACTCGGAGCCTCCGACCTGAAGATCTGATCCACAAGGCAGTGGAGCATTGTCCCATGGAAGCCAGTGACCAACAACTGGTTCATACGCCATTTGTTCCCGCAGGATACTGGAGCCCTTGTGCACCATTGGTTTGGAATCCGGTTAAAGCGCCGGACATTCGCTTTTCGTGCTCTCATTTTCGTAAACATCACCCCCGCCATGAGTAGGTAGTGAGTAGGACTTCCATGGCAGGGGCTATATATGCGTGGTTATGTGAGGGCATCTCGAGAGTGAGAACGGACTCTCCCTAATCTCGGCCGTACCAGGGCATTTGGGGGCATTATCGAAACTACAATGAATGGATCATAATTTTCAATCTATCTGTTGTATCTTAATATGTTCATCTGCTTAACCAACCACACTTCGTTTTTCTTTCTCCTTTTTCTCATACATGAATGCTTAGAAGTCTACTACAAATATTTACTGAACCATTGTTTCAAAAAGATGGGTTTTTCATGGAATTAATTGAACGTCGTAATCAGTCAACTGGTTTCGGTGAAAATAATATCAATGCTTTATGGGAAGCATTGGAAATATCACAAACACTGTAAAATTATTTAGTCAATTGTATACCATCAGTTTAATATTTCATTTTTAGTCAGTTATGTTATAGAGTATCATATTGTTTTCTTTATCCCACTGTTTATCACCTCGCTTTCCATCGGCACTTGAGAAATAAGATGCAGTTTTATACTTAATTAACAGAGAACAACAGATATAGACTGAAAAAAATTAATACATGGTTCGAATATGTAATTGTTGTCTTATTTTCAGTTTAATATTTAAAGGGAAATGTAAAAGGTAGTTTTCGTCACGAATGGACTGTATAAATCCTACTTTGCATCTTTTCTATGCACTTGCTCCTGTAAACACTTGTAAATGTGTAAGTCTAATTGGATGCAATATTTGTATAATTATCAGAAATCTAGCATTACATATTTATTAACCACTGAATACACTCTCTACCTTACCGAATAGATTGGTTTTGGTTACGTAAACTATGTTTAATGCTTGATAGTTCTATTTCTATACAATAATATTCAGTTCTGTGGAGTTAATAAAATAAGGTTAGGAATAATGTAGGAAAGCTTTTCTTTGTCATCATGCTAAACATACTATAAATAACAGAGAACTGTTTGGCGAGTCGAACCAGTTAGCTTCATTCAAAATATAGGTTCATTTAATAGATTTTACTGTTTTCTTCTTAACATTTTTACGGTTTCTGAATATTAGTAGATAGCATTCGAATTTTATCTCCGGTTATTTTGTTTTGTAAGGAACTTATCAACAGAATGTAATTACACCATAGTAATTTAGAACATTAACGTAAGTCAGTGGGAAATTTTAAATCACCAATCTACTTCGTCGAAGAAGCACTAATAACTATGATATGTAGTCAGAGGTCTGATTTCTTAAAAATAATGCATACTCACAAGTGTATTTGAGTAGTATCACTCATTGACTGTGTTTTATTAAAAATGAATTGAGAAAAAAAACATTGCCAGTTTATATTTATTGGTTGTTTGAATCTTCCCATTAATGTTTAGGATTACAATTGACCACCCGTTTTTAGCATATGTGGCTTTTGTGCGGATTGCCTCGATATTATCCTTAATTCACGAGTATTATGACCAGAGGTGAGGGATGTCTATCAGTGGGGTCCAGGACTCACGTTTCGTCCCGTTTGCGACTCTTCAGTCGGATGTACCTGCATCTCAGCGTTAACGTCCATTTCCGAACTTAGAGCTTATGACTTTGTAGCAACATTGTTTCAGATAGTTTATCCTCTTTTGTTACTTGGTGTTTCTTTCATCTAAAAAACGTCCAAACTGTCTTTAATATGTCTAAGTTGTCATTAGTCTACCGATTCGAATGTAATCTTTTAAACGAAAGTAACAATGTTTTCGAATATCAGTAACATGACAAATAATATGAATATAAAGAAAGTTTGACCATCAACTAGTTAAATAACTCGAAAATAAGTAAGAATTAACTATACGATATGTCTTAAGGTTTGTAATTTTCGGTAAATTTGAATTCTGATCCCCAGTGCTATCCATGATACCTTCTTTGCCCTATTCGAAAGTTGTCAAATGAGTGTACCTTCATTCTGAGGTTTGCATTTATGCTGAGTCTTGAGCCCTGAAGCTATCACTTCAAGTGCCAACGGGTTATGTGTGAGCGAATGATCACTAGTTCAACCGAAATTATAATGCATTTGTTGACATACCTAGCTACTCATCATGTTCCTCAATACAAAGTTTTAGTTACAAATTTTAGTGTCTTTAGCTTGCAGGTAGCAATGGGATCTAGTGTCTGTGTTTCTTTTTATTTGAGATTGATCAGATGAATGTAAATTGACCCTAGAGTTCTCATAATCGGGGACCCAATATTCTTTCTGTAGTAAAATGATCGTCCTGCAATCTACTACCGACGTTTTTTAAATTTGAAATTCGCGAATTGTATCTTCGGTATAAAACATTAAATGATCCTTAAACCTACTAAAGTGTATCGATACCCTTCTAAGATCACTTCCAATTGTGTTTATAAATGTATATGTGCTCTTAATGACAAGTACATAAGAAGGACTATAAGAAAAGCACTTAAAGGGCTTTCTGAACATATTCCTCGAAAACGGGAGAAATGTAGTGCTTACAGGTGCATTCACAAGACATTTCATGGACAGTGGACAAAGTGAATATCACATGGACGTTTAAAATACTTAACTAGCACGGAACAATGCTTTGTATAAGAATTTGACATCAAGGGATTTCAACGTGACCCTTGTATACATAAAGAAAGTACAGTAAACCTATCGTTGACATGGTGAAATAATTATATCGTTGTAGTGTGCCAAGTGCATAATCCCTTTAATTTATATTTTAAACATTCGGCCTTATTATTGCCCATTTACTATGAAAGTTGCGTTCTTCATTTTATATCCCGGTTATTATTTGTGATATCACTCCTTTCTTTAAACGACTTCATCTTCAGCACATGAGTACTAATTAATCTTTACTATTGCACTAATTATATTGTTATCTCTTCTAGTTTTTGGTGGTTTTATTTTTCGCTATCGCTTCAAATCCAAATTTATTGAATAAAAATAAAGAGTATTCAGCGAAGAGAATTACCTTTTCGATTTAATCATTCACTTACACTGTAGATTTTTATCTATAATTGCTTGATAAAGAAGGAACCGATTTGGAAAATTTATTCATATGTACAGTAGAGCCATTTATACTATCATATTGACATAAATATTTTATAATCAGTCATTTGTACTTCTATTGTTAATGCTTCTTCTGTTTCGGTACAACCATAATGGGATAATTCTTAGTATTTTCGTTTTGATAACTAAAGTAATTACATTACTCCCTTCAAAATGAATTAAACTATAAACAGGCAGATCAGTTGTGTTATATGTAATCATAGAAATTCTTGATATTCTATGGTAATTCAGCTTGTATCTAATTGAAATAAAGTGTTGTCTGGTATTAGTTAAATCTCCAATTCATTAACAAGGATTTTTGTCAAGGAATTTATTATGATAAACGATGGTCAGTTGGATATTAAGCAGTCAGGAAGATTATAAACTATAATCATTAAATGTGTTGTTAGGTATTGATAAATGATGACAGTCCTCAAACTGTCAAATAAATATCGGAAAATAAAGCCAAACACTATACAATATGACAGGGACAACCACCACTATTGCGTGAGTCTGGTTGGTCGCTAGGACATTGGGGATCATTAATGGACATCGTTAGCAATCCTCTAAAGAAAGCTACCTGATTTTCTCTTCGTACTAATATTAGTACAAGTAAATGAAGATACCAGCATAAAAAGTTCGTCGCATAATTACAACACACTTATCAAATATCTTAGCTTAAAACCGAAACTGTACTAAAAAAGATCAAATTGGATTTCAGTAGCCTTCCAAATCAATTCTTAGGCTAGATTACTAGCGCTACCCAATTTAAACAGGAATTTATGGAGCGTCACTGTAAAATATAAATATTTTCTCTTTACTTGGAGAGATTGGTTTATAATCATGGGTTTTTTAATTATGATAAAGAATTTTTCTAATCCCACAGTTTATCTGTAAACATTTTATGCACAGTTGATTTGACATTAAAGCTTTCTTCAAGAAACTTATTATGTTTCACTCATTTTTTTCAACAGTTATTCTTACGGTCAAGCGATATCAGTTAGTACTTTTATTTGTAGAAACCGAAACGGTTCTTTCCTTCATTTAGAGATGAGTTCACTAGCCAATTATTCTGAAAATTTTAGAATAGAAAGTTAGGTTTTTTATATCATTTAACTTTCGTTTAGTCTCTATGTAGTTTTCAAATGGATGGTAAATTTAATAGACGATAATTAATGTAATGTTCTGATGTCGTACCGGTAACAAAAACTTTTACTCACCTACAAAATATCCGTAATCAGTTAGGTAGAACATTAATAATACTAACAAAATATCTCCTCACTACGTGATAAATACACTGATTAATTACGGCGACACGAAATCTTCGAAATTCAGTATTAATCAATAATGCTTTATATGATTATTCGGAACACTTTTTTCACATGTATATAATTTTAATTATCATGTTCTGAAACCTGGTCAAGTTCAATTATCTTATAAAATTTATGCTTACATTTAGTGTAAACTACTAATCATAGTAATTTCAATATTCAATCAATGCATTCTGAAGAAAAGAAAACTAGTTAGTATTTATTTCATGTGAAAATAATGAATATTTTCCATTTACCTTGTCTATTATACACGCATCATTTGCACCACAAAATATTTGATAATTTCATAACAGTCATGTCAAGTTTTTCCACTACTCAAGAGACACTTTTAATTGAGAATGTAGATACGTTAAGTTTTGTGTCAAACAAATATTTCCATAAGAAAATATATAAAGATGTCACATAATATATTTCTTTAAAGTATTTCTTAATATTTGAGTAACAATCTACTCAGTTTTTTAAATGTGAATAGAACTAAAATGGACCACAGTTACATGGGAGATTTTGTTGAAAAGATAGAAATTGATGACTTTGTACTGCATTGATAAACCATTACAATATTAACCATATATTTAACACAGATTATATAGATTAGTAAAGTTTTAAATACCATAAAGGAAACAAGTTATTTCTTATCAATTTATTACACTGAATATGAAAGGTCATTTAAATTTTTCCATTTAATTAATCAGGTCAAAGTGATATCATATTTGGTCTTTGTCATACAGCCAGTCATGTGCATCTAGGTCCCAGACTAACGATCCAGTCAGATAACGCCTATTTTTTGAATTTTAGAATTATTCTTGTTTAATATGATTTGGTCTTTCTTTCACTCATTTACAAAACTCTTTAGAAATATTATAAAAGGGATATTAAGTCACATCCCCACATCCTGGATCACAGAATAAAGGTTAAGGTTTTCCTACCTTAAAGATCAGGGGTGAATACTATATTAATCAAAGAAGTCGGCAAATATCATGACTCAGAATACCAGTAGATATCATTTTGG